AACAATAATATGTTACCTTCCATATGATTATGTTTTGTGTAGAAGCATTATATTTTAGTAGTTTTATTAGTTACCTTTTATAATAAATGATTATACAAGGTGTATTCAAATAAATCTATCAAAATATACTCATAAAATGATTTAAATATGCAAAAATATTTGTCACACTTAATTAAAAAAATAAATACATACTTAATTTTTTTTTTTTAATTTTCACATTTAGTTTGCAATTTAAAAATTTTATTTTCTATGGTATCTATATATATTTTTAATTACATATAGTTACAAAAAAAATGTGAATATTTGTTTATATTTAATTTAAGATGTATAAGAAATATATAATCTCTAGAGATGACCTCCCCGCAAAGGCAGACATTCGACTAAACACATATAGGTTTTAACGCTAATCGTTAATGTGTTTTATAATAAATTTATAATATTGGTACATCGAGATAATAATCGTCCGTATTATTAATGTCACAATACGCTGACTCGTCTTATCATGTGGTGTACACTCGAGATCAAATGGTTATGATAGTCGATTCGAATGTAACTCTGCGGAACTTTCTGAGATTTACTCTCGATATTTTTCGAAGGTTGATGGTGTGGATAGTACCTGCTTGAAAAATATAATAGCATCTACCACTGAATAGTATACCGTATAGCATACCGTTTGTGAAAAATAAACGCGAATAATGCATTGTAATCGACGGACGAAACGAACTCCTATCGCCAAGCCTCCGAAAAACAATAATAAAACATATCAGCGTCGTGCGTTTGTCTTATAAAATATAATAATAATATGTCGAAACGAGCTTTCGCACAGGACATAATGGCCAATAGGTACCTATACATATTATTATCATAATATGCATTCATATACATCGCTACGGATTGCATAGAAATAGTTACTGACGACGTATCATTGGAGTTACTTGTTATAAGTATCATAATATATTATTATAGTAAGTACCGTGCCCGTATCTATATACTATTTACTGTCGGTGACGTAGGTTTAGGTGGTACAATTAAAAAGAAAAAGAAGAAAACTCTGTAGTATTATTCGATAAATTTCAATAACGATGGCAATTCATTCAGGCGATTATGGTCATTGGCCTCCCAATGCTGAACGTATTACACGGTGAGATGCATATATTATATAGGTATAACATATTATAATAAACTGTACGCGTTGTTTTATAGTCTGAATCGTTATATGTATATATGAACACTATACTACATACAGGTATACGTACATAGGTAAGTACTATACCTACGGTTAAAGTTTATTTTCCACTCGCGGTCGAGTCACATACCTGGTCATAGTAGGTTGGTATATATATTATGTTATTTAGGTATATAATAATAATAATAACAACAACAATATTATATGCGGTATACCGGTGTATAGCAACTATTGTGTTGTACGTACAGGTATAATATGATCTTATACCTAGCGCGATGCTCTCTCGAAATGGGGGGGGGGGGTACCATATAACTCGCCTACACGTCGTATAGTGGACCGCCGAGGAGTACACAATATATACAAAATATATACATATATAAGTATATTATTATTATATTACAACTCCGTAATTTCAATGCGGCCCGTATACATAAGTACGCGTTTAGCATATAGTACATATATTATATTGTGTGCATGTAATATTGTTACGATGGCGATACGCGCGAGCACGCCGTGTCGACGAAACCGTATTAAATCAATCGCGGAGGGTATTAATTATTTGTGTAATATGGTCGGCGCATTACGTTTCGAGTCGTACGTAAATCGCGGTTTATACCTTACATATTATACCGTGTACCTATATATTGGTAATAATGTATACACGTTTTGATCGTCCACTCGGTACCTCGGTATCCTATATAGTCCGTTGCTGAGTTCGGGAATCATAATATCCATGCAGTAAATTGGTAAAATATACATTTTCAGGTGTATGCCAATTTTTTTTAATCGAATTTTTGAATGGAAAATCGATTACGTACAAGTGCAATGGAATAAAGTCCCAAAATACTTTTCATCCAACTTGATTCTTATAGACAATTACAAAATGTACAATATAACAACGACTAAAATAAGACGTTCTATAAATAATGAGTTTTCTGAATAATATTATATTTTAGCCTTTATCAAAAGTAATTAATACATAATATACTAGTCTCAAGGGAAACATAGTGCCGGATGGCTATAATATAACATAATCGAACGTGTTCTGATTGATTCGCCGACTGATAATCGCAGAATCTGACTATGATAGCTTGAAGCTTGCAATTTTCACAAAACCTTCGTACCGACATGTAACTATATGCACTAAGAAAGAATTTTCTAAAATTCATATGTTAAAGTGGTACTTGCACAAGTATTTTGAAATGAATCGATGAAAATCGTTAAGTTTTGAACACCATTACACGGAATATTAAATAACGAATTGAATAAAGTTTGAATAAAATAGAGTTGGAATTTTTAACGGGCAACGGAGTGCATGGGATCTGCTAGTAATATATATATATAAACACAAGTGCAGAGGTTACGTTACGTACACTTGACGGAAACTTGACGGAAACTTTGTCCATCCGGAGCATAACATAATTTTCTGCATATCTCGATTTAACATTTGAACAGCCCTTATAATATCCGATTAATACATATTATAGTATAATACAATTTTCATATGTGTATTCAGTATTGCCTGTATTGTAAATATCGCACCACATACGATAACTCACATTAGTCACATCATGTTGTTTTGATTATTCATAGTCTGCACCTATTTTATCTCTAGGACTCTCCCGCCGCCAGACACCTGGGACTGTTATAATATATTGTTCGAGGTCAGAGACTATCGTAATATTACCTGTCGCGGTTGGCAGTTGGGTTTGTTTGTTTGGCATTCGGTTTTCTTACGGCAACGTTTTCAGAGAAGTTTATTATGAAATTAATAATATAGGTTGTGATTAAATAACCCAAGAAATCAAAAAAAAAACACCACGATAAAAAAAAAATAGTAAAAATTAGTCTTATTTGTTAAAACCTATAATAATTACTAAGTACCTACACTGTACACTTTAAAACAGTTCAAACTATAAGAACACAATTATTTTACAATATCGTAGAAATTAACAAGGTGGGTAAGGGGAAATTAGTGTAAGTTAGTTAAATGTATCATCCTATATCCCTATTCAGTATATTGTATATGTATTAATTATTACACGATGAATATCTGTGCACTATGATCAGTCGAAACATAAATTGAGTCGATCAAACGGGAGTGCAGTCGAGGCGGCAGAGGCTCAATGATTCGACGATAATATTATGACGACAGACATGTTATTATTTTGATTCCGACCTTATCCTACAGCAGTTGTACACAATATTGTGTTGTATCATATGTGTGGTGAAGATTTTCAATTATTTCAACCTCGTTATAATGTACTCAATATCATTATTGGAAAGTTGTGCTCGAGACTGTATAAAAATCTTCAATAAAACAATTCATTACAATACCGTCCTGGCCTATACTGGCGAGAGTTAACCACTGCATGGTTACATTAATGTGAACTTAATAAACCGTATCAATAATCAGCGAATCTGAAGATTATTGCGTTTAATTTCACACTGCAGTCTGCAAGTCTGCTTGGACGAGATAGCATACCTTTTTATTCTATAATATGTTTTTCATGTATGTTATTGTATATGTCGTAAATAAATGATAAAATTATATTATGCTGATAAACTATTCGCATTTTGCGTATAACCGTTTTAATTGACCCAAACAACGGTGGCTTATAACTGCCCGGATCAGTCGGTGTGCAAAATATAACAATGTGTATAATATTAGTATACTTACTTATAATTGAAGTTCGAATAGGAGAATTATATAATAATATGTGGACGCACCGTGTATTATGAGTGTTAATACTCGCATATCTTACGGTCACCCAATAATTACAGCAATCTTACGTTTGGATCACAAGGAACGCCGTACCTATGATATAATAATATTATTGGGTACCATACGAAAATATAATATTGTTCACCGCGGTATTATGTGTGTAAAGTTTAGGAACCGAAATTCATACAGGTGGAGCAGTGGCGCCGAGACAGTATTAAAATAGTCGGGCAAACTTTCCAAAATAGGCAATACACCCACCACGTACCCCAAAAAATTTTTTACAAATTAATGGGGGGCTCTGCCCCCCATACCCCCCTTAATAATATTCCTCTATTTACAATAACACACATTTTTATATGTTTCTTTAAAAATTATTTAAATATATTATAAAAATTAATAATATAGGTACACATAACTTGAAACAGTTATAATACTGTAATAATATAAGTTACCTACTAATAATTAATAATATAATTTCACAAATAAAATATTAATAGTAGTAGGTAGTTATAAATTATAATATAATAAAATAGATAGTTAATAAAATAATTTAAACTTTTAAATAAATAATTTTTATTTATTTTAATGATAATCACAGTAAAGAGTAAAATATTCACTAAAAACAAATTTACAAAAAATAATTAGATTATTTTAGTATTTAAATTTTTTATTTAAAACTGTAGATTTTGTCGCAAAGTTGTCTATTATTGTTTCTGAATCTAACTGTATATCAGCTTCACAGGTGATACGCATCAGATCTATCTTCCCCCATTGTGCTTCTTAAACGACTTTTTATTAATTTTAATTTGGAAAAAGATCTCTCTGGGGAACAGCTTGATACTGGAATAGTCACTCCAATTTTTATAAGCATAAATAAACTTGGGAAAATAGATTTTAGACCAGCTTTACAGAAATCTTGAAAAACACACATTAAACTTGATGAATTTTGCCACCTTTTTAATTGTTCAGATGTAGTATCGTCACTGTTTGAATCGTTAGAGCTCAAACTTGAATTGTCATCATTTAAATTAGGATGCAGATACAGTGGAAAAGTTTCATTAACAATTAAATCACAATTTATAAACTGTTCTACTCCCTACGGACATCTTCTAACTTTAATAATGTATTATATACCAAACAAACAGCCTTAAATGCATCTATAGGAATGCTTTTAGGGTTTTTTTTTAATGCTTTTATACGTTTGATTGATAATAAAGCAAAATCTTTCATTACTTCAATAGTTTTATTAGTAAATCTTTGACTAATTTGTGTCTTAATAATATCTAATGCTACAAAATAAGTATCTACCTTAAACTTTTGAATAGGATTTTGTTCAACTTCATCACTACATAATTCCCCATCCATTTTTCTAACTTTACGTTTTTTTGTTGTCCGCAATAGCTCAAATTCCTCATTCTCATACTTATCATCAAATTCTTTAGCTAATATAAAAATATTTTCAAATGTTTCTTCAGTTCTCAGTGCCACTATGGACTCTTTAGCACTATTAACTAAATACATCGCTGCTAAAATATCTATGTCACGAGCTTGTAATGTACGGGTTAATGGTTCAAGTATTTCAAATATTTTTTTAAAACTAAGAGCTGTCATTAAAAACCTATAAGAAGTCAAGTAGCTAAGCAGTCCATTACAATCAGCACCAAGTTTGAAATCTGATCCTCCGTCTATATTTCTTACTTCTTCTATTGTTTGATAAACTTTATCGTAAACATCGAGTACGGTATTTAAGGCATAGGCATGTGACATCCAACGAGTAGTGTTTACACGTTTCACTGATCTTATTTGTTGTTTTGGATAGAGTTCTAATTGTTTTTCTCTAAAAAAAGCTGATCGTGCTTTACTTCCAGTGATAAAAGTAAACATTTTTTCTAAATTTCCTAATAGATCCACTGCATTTGAACAAGATCCTACTGCCTGACTAGCTATTAGGTTTAAACTATGAGCAGAACACCAAATAAATAGGGCTTGAGGATTTTGTTCAAGTATTTTAGCTTGAAGCCCATTGTACTGCCCACTCATGTTTGCAGCCCCATAATATGACTGACCCACTAAATTTGATTTCCAATCAAGATTATGATGATTAAAAACATTTTGAAATAACTCAGAAAGATGAACTCCGGTAGTGCATGGGGATTCTCTTAATGCTAATAATCTTTCCATAACTGTACCATTAGTTTCATTAACATACCTTATGATAAAAGAAACCTGTTCCTTACGGGATATATCAAAGGTAGAATCGAGTGAAACACTGAATATTCTCGATGAAGTAATATCAGATTGAACAATTTGTGATATGTATTCTGAAACAGATTCAATTAAAAGATTTTGGCGATCCCAGGAAATAAAAGATGTATCTTTACGTCCTGGATTTAAAGAATTTATATAGTAAATTTAGTTGTAAAACAATGAATAAAAATGTCTTTTTTAACACATGAAATGTACATTAAAAAATTATAATTAAAAACTTGTACCTACTAATTGTATTTTTTTGTAGGCGAAAAATAATTTAAAATAATTAATTATCAAATTAGTAGGTACCTAATTCAATGAAAGCAATATAATATAATAGGTATACCTAATAGAATATATAAATATATAATATATTTATAACAATTTATATTTTGGGTATAGGTTATAATGGTTATATTAAAAATCACAATAATTCCTACATTTATAGTTTTACTAAATTGATAATTTTAAATTTTAAAATTTTACAAAATTCCAATACATTTTAAAATTATAAGTAGATAAATAATTTTTATAATTACCTGCAGTAAGAGTGTCAGTTGGTAAAATCTCACTGACTGATGGTATTTGAATCTGTTTATCATAATCATTTTTGCCCAACAGATAAAACTTAATTGATATTTATAGAAAAAAAACTAAAACAAATGAAAACTGAAAATGTCCGTAAACAGCTCAAAAAGAATCAAAATATTTTCAAAATTGTATGGTGTATAGAAAATGCTAATTTAAACATTCAGTGAAATTTTCATGTATCTACAGTTGTTCGTTTTTGAATTACAACAAAATAAGGAAATCGCTACATGAGAAATCGAGTGAATATCCAATGTTGTAAAAATTTGAACTTCAAACGTTCATAAAAATTTAATTTGACTTTCTTATAGACATTTTTTTTTTGATAAAGGTAGATAATCTTATAAGGAATCTTGTATTACATTTTCAAATCTTAGATTTAAAAAGAAAAATTTTTACGAATTCTTAACTCAAAATAATTTGCTAATTTTCGTGATTTTTCCATATTTTGTCAATTTTTGAACTTTAAATGCTTATAAAAAAAAAATTGTGACTAAGGATTTTTAATATTTTTCATCTGCCTTTGAAACAATATTATACTAGGAGCCTTCTATAGTTCTATTAAATTGTCAAGCTTTTTTAAGCAACAAATAAAATTTGTTCATTTGTTTTAGAGTTACACCAAAAACCAAAATCGATTTTTTGGAAAACTGATTTTGCGTAAATATTCCCGTTTTTCCTTAATTTTTGTGTTGTTTTTCCCGGCGCTTGTGAAAACTACTGGGAAATTTTTACTTTTGACCCCCCAAAGTACCAACTAGATTCACTTTCCTATCAGAAAAGATACTGTTGAAGAAAACCCAAGCACATTTACTGTAATAAAACGTGATGACAGACAAAAAAAAAATTAAAAATAAAAAAAATTAATAAAAAAAAAAGGTGGGTAAGTGGATGTCGCTCTGCTGTACATTAGGTTACAAGTGGGTCACTGTATAATGGATGATATTAAATTTGAATCCAATGATACAATATCATTGTATAAGAAAAACGATTCTGAGCGAAGACGGTATGTCAGTCTAGGTTTAAGACATATTATATACATATCTATGGTATTAAAAAAAAATTGACCTATAATAAATTCCAAATTAATCATATCACAATACACATTAGGTACTTATAACACGTTATACATCAATAAAAAACCCTGATACTATCATAGATATATAATATAGTGTACTTTAGAAGTTTCAAGTACCCACGAATAGTATTATACACTCACAACAAAATAACTAAAATAGGTATGCTACTATGCTAGGTTTTTTAATATGTAATTTCGTCCCAAATTTGAACTTAAAATGTCTGTAAAAAATAACTGTGCTAATATATTTTTTAGATTTTTTGGCTACAGTATGAACTATTTATGAGAATCTTTTTTTTAAATTTTCAATCCTTAGCTATAAAAACTGAACATTTTATAATTTATTAATTACGATGATTGATAATTTTCGAGATTTTGATAAATTTTGTCAAAATGCGATCTTTAAATGCATATAAAAAAAAATTGTGCCTATGTATTTTTAATATTTTTCAATTGCTATTGTAACAATATATCAGGAGCCTTGTATTAATTTTTCACACTTTTTGGCCCAACAGATAAAACTTTATTAATATTTATAGAAAAAAAAAACTAAAAAAATTGAAAACTGAAAATGTCCGTAAACGGCTCAAAAAGAGTCAAAATATTTTCAAAATTGTATGGTGTATAGGAAATGCTAATATAAACATTCAGTGAAATTTTCATGTATCTACAGTTATTCGTTTTTGAATTACAACAAAATAAGGAAATCGCTACATGAGAAATCGAGTGAATATCCAATGTTGTAAAAATTTGAATTTCAAACGCTCATAAAAATTTAACTTGACTGTCCGGTAGAGATTTTTTTATTGATAAAGGTAGATAATCTTATAAGGAATCTTGTGTTTCATTTTAAAATCTTAGATTTAAAAAGAAAAATTTTTACGAATTCTTAACTCAAAATAATTTGCTAATTTTCGTGATTTTTCCATATTTTGTAAATTTTTGAACTTTAAATGCTTATAAAAAAAAATTGTGACTAAGGATTTTTAATATTTTTCATCTGCCTTTGAAACAACATATTAGGAGCCTTCTATTAAATTTTCAAGCTATCGCAACCAACAAATAAAATTTTATTGATATTTCTAGAAAAAAAACTAAAAAAAAATGAAAAATGAAAATGTCCCTAAACAGTTCAAAATAAATCAAAATATTTTGAAAATGTTATCGTGTATAGAAAATGCAAATATAAACAACCAGTGAAAATTTCATGTATCTACGGTCATTTGTTTTAAAGTTACACAAAAAACCAAATTCGATTTTTTGGAAAATCGATTTTGCGTAAAAATTCCCGTTTTTCCTTAATTTTTATGTTGTTTTTCCCGGCGCTTGTGAAAACTACTGGAAAATGTTTACTTTTGACCCCCCAAAGTACCAACTAGATTCACTTTCCTATCAGAAAAGGTACTATTGAAGAAAATCGAAGCACTTTTACTGTCCCAAAACGTGATGACAGACACAAAAATATAAAAATATAAAAATATAAAAACACACATCATTGTAAAACCAATACATTCATCGCTCCGCTCAGAATCTAAAAACACACATCATTGTAAAATCAATACATTCATTCAAGAATTTCACTCAGAATCTAATAGACTTTATTTATTTTTCCCGTACATAGATATGATATTATTACATGATATTATTAACATCATCGTCCACGGGCCAACCATTTATTAATAATGATAAGCTATATTAATACAATAAATAAGAATTATCAGAAATGACAATAGTTCGTACTTCGTAGTACCCATACCAACATAATATTAATTATTATATAGGTACATTTATAACAATATTATATAGTTATTTACGCTGTACACATCACACAGGTCTTACTGCATATAATTGGTACCTACCTTATTGCTTATTAGTTAATAGTTATTATATTCTAAAATGGCTAACGGAATTAATTGATTACGTGTTATGGAACAATAATATAATATCTATAAGAAGTATAGCATAATATTATTATTATTTACAACCACCCACTTGACCACCACCACCACCACCACCACCAGCCAAAAAATTTGGTCGGGCGACCGCCCGACCTATACCCCGTGTTCGGCGCCACTGAGGTGGAGGTATAAAATAGTATAACATAGTACTGGGTGAGGACTGGTGATCGATCGTTGTATTATAATTGCAATTTCTATAATATAGAATGCGACGATTAGAGATTAAAACTTATTATTATTATTATATTGTGTGAGCGCTGAACAATATACTCGCATCATTATTCAATCAAGAACTGATATTCGGCTCTTTATATTAGGTATTATTTTAATCTCTCAGCGATGGACTCGCGTGATCCTCTCGTGCACTCAGTACCCATACGAATTCCACGATAACAGCGTAATGCGATGGCTTACAGACTTTCTAGTTTTCAAAACGCGCTGCGTATATACATCACAAACGAGTGTTGCAAAAAATCGTACCTACCTATATATTATGCTCGTCGTTTGGCAGAAACGTTGTTATTTTCCGTATACATCGTATAGTTATATTATATACTATTAGCACGCCCGTAAATATTTCAACGAATAAGAGTATACATAAGTGACCACGGTGAGGTATTATCCAACATGTGTGTCGGTGTGTGTCTGTGTATGATATAGTAATGATATACTTTACCATAGGTATTATATAGGTGTATACGACGCCGGTTAACGGGCGTATATTTGATGAAACGTTATACGATACGTTTCACGTTTTTGTAACGCAATTAAATTGAATTTTTTTACTTTAATGGTTCGTATATAGGTACCTATACCTATATAAAATAAATTTTTGAAAGACGAAAAAAAAACGCTAAAATAATTGGCGTCACGAGAGCGTACGTGCGAGTTAC